ATGGATTAAGGTTGAGTTTCTTTTCTTTTTTTTTTTTTGAGCTGAAGGCAGTCACTTAACTAACTGAGCCACCCAGGTGCCCTAAGGTTGAGTTTCTATCCCAAGAAGAGAACTGCAATTGGCTACTGACTGGTGTGGTTGGCTTGAAAGAAGGAGCTCAGCCACCAAATTTCTCTCAAGAATGTGGTCTGGGAAAGAGACGGAGTCCAGAAGCAGGGCTGTCATGCTGGGGGGTAGGCGTGGGCCCGGGGCGACCATAAGGGGCCAGATGAAAGCTGAAGTTGGTGGGAAGACACTGGTAAAGTGGAGAATGGAGTCGACACATCAAGAAGGAGAGTTGCCATGAGTGAGATTTTGCAGCTTCTGAGAAGCAGGGAGGGAGGCGGCCTTGATCATTTTTTAAAAGGCCTGTTTCAGTCTCAGTTTAGGAGAATACTTACCATATTCAGCTTCCTCTCCCCAACGCCCACCCTTTTATTTAAGTTTTTTTTTTCAAGATTTATTTATTTATTTGAGAGAGAGAGAGCATGTGAGTGAGGCAGGAAAGACAGAGGGAGAGAATCCCAAGCAAACTCCTTGCTGAGCATGGAGCCCAATGAAGGGCTCCATTCCACAACCCCGAGATCGTGACCTGAGATGAAATCAGGAGTTGGATGTTTAGCTGACTGAGGCACCCAGGCACCCTTTTAAGATCTTATTTTTAAAAAATCTCTACACCCAACGTGGGGCTCAAACCTACAACCCCAGGATCTGCTCCACAGGTCTCATTGCTCCGCAGACTGAGCCAGCCAGGCGCCCTCCCACCATTTTTTCCTTTTTCTTTTTTCCTTGAGGAAACACGAAAGAGAATCTGTACCTTGAAACTAAGGAGAATTTCTTTGCTCAACCTAAGGAAAATTTGTGTCAGCCACCCTCACACCAGTCTCTGGGTGAGTCTTGGCTTGCCTTCAGGGTTAGTCCGGGACTCTCCACAATATCCCAGGTACACTTTCATCCTGTCTGCTCTGGTCCCACCCAGGGGAGGACACATAATCCCACTCCACCCGACATCCCCACATACGCTGGGACGAATCTAGCCTTCAAGCTGCTAGCCAATAGATTGTGTGGAAGAGAAACATCTGAGGGGCCTTTGTAAAGTTCGTTCTTGAGGCTTCCCTGCAACAGGAGTAAATGTAGAAATGGGATGAGATGGGGAGGCAGAGAGTGTTCAGGTCCTGATCTGTGTACAAACCTATGACCTGGCACAAGTCAGTTAATCCCCCTGATCCCCAGTCTCTCCATTTGTAAAGGAGAGATTACCAACTTTGCCCAGTTTATCTCGGGGTTATTTCGAGAGGGTTAAATGAGCTGAGGTTTATGAAAGTGCCCTGTGAGCTCTTTGGCCCTCATTCAGATGTATGTCTTTGGCAGTGTGATAAAGAATCGGAAAGAAGGTGTGTCAGCTCTAGGAAAATTTCCAGGTTGTGTCTGCTTTTATTATAGTAACTAACGTTGTTCCTTACAGAAGTACGAGATACCATAAGGTAAGTCCATCAGGGAGGAGTTAAAAAAACAAAAAAACCCCACAACTGCCTCATGGCACTTGTCCAAGTGAAAAATCTAGGCGAGCAAATAATGATGGAAAATAAACTTTTCTCTTGCTTTTTTTTTTTTTTTTTAAACGTAGGCTGTATGCCCAGTGTGGAGCCCAAAGCAGGGCTTGAACTCATGACACTGAGATCAAGACTTGAGCTGAGATCAAGAGTTGGACACTTAAACAACTGAGCCACCGACACACCCCACTTGCTCTTAATTTCAGGAAAAAATTATGAATCAGGAAAACAGCTCAAAAAGACATTTTCAAATTAATAATTAAGTATCTGGTCCTTAGGGAGGGATTTTTAAGTGAACTTGAAAGAAAAATGAGAAAAAGTGTGATCTGTTCAGGTCCCAAAGTGGATCATTATTTTCAAAAACACCAACAATAAGCAGCATCACTGTGTGGGGGCGAGTTCAGGAAGGTCAGGCTAGCAGAGGACGTAGAAATAACAGCAAAACCCAAATTCTTAAGAAACTCTCAAGAGACAATTAATTTTGATCATTTTAAGAATAAAATAAATATGGAATACATCAATTTAAAGATGGGTAACAATTTTGTAAAGTCAGGCATACAAGGATACAGTGTCCCAGCTTCTGATAGGTTAGAAATCACTGTCCCCCCAACCCTAGCTCTTCCAGCACAATCCTTGACAGCCCCCGTGACGCAGGCCCGATGCTCTTTCTCAAACGGAGCTTTTCTTTGGTCTTGTGAATGAATCTCACTTTTTCTCTCTGTGCTTCCTTTTATTTTATTTATTTATTTACTTATTGGAGGCATCATCATTTTTATTCAGATTTTTGAGAGCACTAGAAAGGTAGGTTAACACCTATCTTCTGGAGATAAGACACCTAAGATTTCCAAGAGCCTTCAAATACGATACTCCTCCTCCAAGTACAGGGATCTGTCCTTCCTTTTATAGCTCCAACCCCCTGCCCCATGATCACTAATACCCTGTGGAAATCCTATCAATAGCTGGAAGAAAATCAGCTCAATACGCAGTATAATAAGGCTTCATGGAATGTCCATGGACTGGTGGTAGAATCTGTATGACAAAAATTGCCAACAATATCCTTGTGATGATTTAAGTGTGGTTTCACTTTAATTGGATGCTAGCATGCTGTTTGCAGCTCTCAGGACTCTGCGGAAAGGGCTGTCACTACATCCATTCCTCCCCCTTAAAAGCCTTCCTCTTGGGGTTAACAACATGCTTCTGGGCTCCACGGGTCCTGCCCTTGGAAGTCTCTCTCCTCACAGGAAGAAGATGCCCCAGTGCTCAGGACCAGTTTCCACCTGGACAACCCCAGACAACCCCGGGGGCCAGCTCTGGATGAAGAGTGTGCAGGGCTCTCTGGCTTAAGACCCTCCCCACCCCTTCCCTTCTGCTTGCCGGAGTTGGGGGGTTGGGGGGAGGAGCAACAAAGGAAATAGGCGTGGCTAATCTGATGCATGCCTTGTCATTGGACGGAGCCTGAACATCAGAACCCAAGGCAGACCCGGAGGCACGTCTACAGCCCCAGTGCCTCAGCCATTATCAACATGTCATCTCATTAGGTCCCATTACAAATGCCATCTGCCCTGTGAAGCCTTTCCTGTTCACGAGGAAATCTCCCTCCCCTGGGCTTCTCCAGCACTGTGGTTCCCGGAATAGCCTTACCCGTAGCTACAGCTTGACCGCTTCTGCAGGGTGGGGTCTGTTTCTGACATACTTGTGTAGGCTTCACAGCCCTTAACACATAGTAGGTGCTTAATAATGAATTCTCTGAATGATGGGCCAGCAAGGACACGGATGAAAGGGTCAGGGTGGAGAGCGGTGCCATGAGCTCCCAGTTCAGACTGCTTCTTCGCCGCCGCCCCTTTCCTCATCCCCATCTCCATGCTCTTAAATTACCATCTTAATTCACCATGCTTTGCAGTAAGCCTCCCGATCTGTAGTGAAATAAAGATATACATGGGACGATCCCATCTGAGGCTATGTGTGTGCATTTGGGGGAGGGGAGTATGACCCCAGCAAAGTTTCCTCTCCAGCTGGGAGAGCCCTGCCCCCCTCCACCCCCAGACACCAGGGAGGTGCCCAGAGTGTCCTGAGCAGTCTCCAATATGGTGCCACTGGCTTAATTTTCCTTCCTTAGGGCCCTTTTGCTTTCTCCTTCGGCTTGAATTACGTATCTATCCAGGCATCTACTGAAAATTTGTTGAGCACTTATATCTGCCAGTCACCAGGGACAAAATGATGAGCAAAGGGATCACAGCCCTACCTTCATGGGGGTTACATTTTCTCATGGAAGAATGACTTTGTCGTTACCAATAGAAATCGCAGACATTTTATGTTACATTAGGGTTGGTGCAGATACCATGCAATAAATAGCATTTCTGCTCAGACTACTTGGAAATTAGGCATCCCTCCCCATTTTTAAAGTATTTAAAGATCTTGTTTTTTAAAGTGTTAATGAAGATGGGGCACCTGGCTGGCTCAGTGGTAGAGCGCGTGACTCTTGACCTCAGGGTCATGAGTTCAAGCCCCATGTTGGGTGTGGAACCTACTTTAATAAATTAATTGATTTAAAGTGTTAATGAAGAAGGACATGTATAGTTCAAATTTTAAAAGTATTTTGATAATAGTATTTCAATATCATGTGCTTCCTTTGCAGTCCTATATATTTTCTACATTTAAAAACACCTTCCTGAGAAGGGTTCCACAGATTTCATCCATGATGATGAAGGTGTTTTGCTCACACAGACAGACACACACACACACACACACACTCACACAGATGGTAAGCACTAGCCTCGAGGCTATCCCTGACAAGGGTGCCTGATATGCTGGGACTGGAATTAGAAAGTCCTCCCAAATACACACCCACACTTGTTTTAAAGCTGGGGGCAAGGGAAGAATTCTGCTTCCAACTGCTTCTACAGGATTGCTGTTCCCTGAAGCCTGGAGGCATGCTGCCCCTGTATTCTGGCTGGCTGTTACTTGTCTGTCACTGCCACAGGGACAGAGGGAGTGTGTCTTAGGAATGTCTGCATCCCCGGTTTCTAGCACAGTCCACGATACAGAAGCAGGTCTCAATAAAGTTTGCAGAGTAAATGGAAATATAAACTAGAAATGCATCCTTGTTGAAATAGACATGCATGTGATCATGTTGGGTGAAGTGGGCCCTGTGTGGACGTGTGTGCACAAAATAGGAGGGGATATAGGGAATATTGTAGGGATATGGGGTGCATAAAGTGAGACATTCTTTTTGAAAAGAAACTCCAAACAGACTTCTGGAATGTCATATTCTAAGACGTTTTCTGGCTGTGTAAAAACAATTCCCCTGTGCATGGCCCCGCCCAGCCTCACGTGACCACCTCTTGCTCCCCCCACACAGGGGTGGCTCCCCAGTGTATATAAAGCTCTGTGCAGCCAAGGCATGAGCCAGCCGGGCCACCCATCTGGACGGCTCACAGGGTGGGAGAGCTTTCCCGGGGAAGCCTTGCCCAGTCTCTGCCCTGAGGGCCTCTGTGCCCATCACTGCAGCAGCAGGCCCAAGATGCCAGTTGCCCAGCTGCTGCTTCTGACCTGTCTTGTATGGGGTTTGGAGGCCAGGACGGCCCAGCTCCGGAAGGCCAATGACCCGAGCGGCCGATGCCAGTATACCTTCAGTGTGGCCAGCCCCAGTGAGTCCAGCTGCCCCGAGCAGGGCCAGGCCACGTCAGCCATCCAGGACTTGCAGAGAGACAGCAGTGCCCAGCGGGCAGACCTGGAGTCCACCAAAGCCCGGCTCAGCTCCCTGGAGGGCATCCTCCACCAGCTGGCCTTGGGCCAGGCTGCTGGGCCCTCGCAGACCCACGAGGGGCTGCAGAGGGAGCTGGGCACCCTGAGAAGGGAGCGGGAACAGCTGGAGACCCAAACCAGGGAGCTGGAGGTGGCCTACAGCAACCTCCTCCGCGACAAGTCAGCTCTGGAAGAAGAGAAGAGGCGACTGGGGGAAGAGAATGCGGATCTGGCCCAGAGGCTGGAAAGCAGAAGCCAGGAGGCAGCGAGGCTGAGAAAGGGCCAGTGTCCCCAGGACCACAGCTCCTCTCAGGATGTGCCACCAGGCTCCAAGGAAGGTAAGAACGTGGGGTGAGGGGCTCCTGAGTCCAGAAGGTGACATGGCTCATAGTGACCTGTTATGGGCCGCCCGGGCTTGCCTTTTCTTGCCCTCTCCTGTCGCCCTGAGACCGTCCATCTAGCACGAGGCAGACGAATGAAGGAGGGCAAAGCAACCACTCTCACATATTACTAGTCATTTAGCTCCTGAGAGTTCCGTTTGGGCTGGTGGTTCCGAGTTCTTGTGCCTCCCATGATGGCTCCCCCAGTCATAGCAAAGTGAGAAATATAAGGACCAGGTGAGACGTATGTGTATATGATCAGTAGGAAGTTGCCAACTATCCTGCCTAGAAAAGTACCCTTTTGTGAATCTTTGGAAATTGTGATTCCTACCTTTTGTTGTTAAAATGACCTCTATTTATGAGCTAACAATAGATTTATGAAACCATGATAGGTGGTAGGGTTTTCGTTTTCGGTTTTGTTTTTTTAATGTGCTGTCTTGGCAAAATAAAGAGGTGGCAACCCCTTTGTCGGGTTCCTCAGTATGTTGTTTGGGAAGTTTTCTTACTCTTTGCCCAATCCGAGAACCTCTGCTTTCAAGTCCCCAGGCCACTCCTTGAGGTGGCTCTTTCTAACTGAGACGCTCTTCAGTTCATCCTGGTCCCTGCTCGAAGGTGAGTCCATGCGAGCGCACTGCGAGAGGGGGCACTCTGTCTCCATTATTCGGGAGGATGGTATTTGTGTCACTTTTTGTGAAATTGTGCTCCCAAATATTCCCTGTTTCATATTAGTTTTCCGATCAGGAGGAAACAAGTGAGCAAATCTGAATGCGGGAGTTAGTCTAGACTTCAGAGATGTCAACATCATGAAAGAAAGACGAGGGGGTGGGGCTTGTTCTAGATTGTAGAAGGCTAAGGAGATGTGGCAGCCAAATGCAGTGCCCGGCTTTGGATTGGGTCTTACATCCAGGGGAGAAGAGCCACAGGGACAGGTTTGGAATCATTGAGGAAATTTGAAGATAGACTACTTTCTTAGGTCCTATTATTGATTAATGCTCAGTTTCTTGGCTGAGAGATGGTATCGTGGTTATGAAGCATATCCTTCTTCTAAGGAGGCACATACTCAAGTACTAGGGCATAAATTCTCAGAATGGCTGCAATTTACTTTCAAATGGTTCAACAAAGACTATAAATGTATCAAAAAGGAAAAACAAATGTGGCAAAATATTAACAAATGGTGAATCTCAGTGATGAGCACACGAGGGGGGGTGCTTTATTGTATGATTCTTTCAACTTTTCAAATGGTTTGGAAATCTTCAAAATAAAATGATTATTTTTTTAAAAGGACTTTCTAGGGACACCTGGGTGGCTCAAATGGTTAAGCATCCAGCTCTTGACCTCAGCTCAGGTCTTGATCTTAGGGTCATGAGTTCAAGCTCCACGTAGGGCTCTGTGCTGGGCATAGAGCCTACTTTTTAAAAAAAGGCTTTCTACCTGAGAGGCAAAGTCTGCATGTAAATGAGACTGAAAAAACCCAAGAGTCCATGCCAGGGTATGACCTTGGACAAGTCACTTAACCTCTGCACCTAAGCCAAGGTTTTTATCTGTTACGTGGTAATGAAAATTCCTCCTGTGAATGATTTTTGTGGGGTTCAAACAAAATAACTCTCAAGTGTAAAGGATTTTTAAAAATCCTGTATTTCGGGGCACCTGGGTGGCTCAGTCGTTAAGCGTCTGCCTTCAGCTTGGGTCATGGTCCCAGGGTCCTGGGATCAAGCCCCACATCGGGCTCCCCGCTCTGCGGGAGGCCCTCTTCCCCCTCCCCCACTCCCCCTGCTTGTGTTCCCTCTCTCGCTGTGTCTCTCTCTGTCAAATAAATAAAAAAATCTTAAAAAAAAAATCCTGTATTTCTATAGTCGGAAGAGACTTGATTCTAAATTTTACAACAAAGAAAAATAAGGTCTGAAGACACCAAGTGCCCCGGGTGGCACAATGATCGGTGGTGGCACGAAGACTTGTTGAGCCTGAGTCTCTGAGCACAGATAAAAGAGTCAGTGTTAATAGAAACATGATGAAGCATTACTTATTTCAGACTGTTAAGTGATGGAGTCATATTCTCAACAAAAACCCGTGTGTGTGTGTGTGTGTGTGTGTGTGAAAACAGGCAATATTTTGGTTTTTTTATTGCCCTGTGGTGATTTAACAAGACTTAGGGAATTTATTAGATGTGTTTTCTAATTTTACATTTCTTTTTCTTCTTTCCAGCTTGTCTACTTTTGAAATAAGGACAACAGCCCCTTAGAGTGAACTCCAAGCTTGGAAAGTCTTTTTAGCAATTTTTTTTCCCATGAGCAGGAATTACATTAGTCCAGGAATGTAGAGCTGCAGAAGCAGCCTGCAGAGCCTCTGAGCCACTGGCTTGTTTTGTGCAGATGTGGAAACTGAGGCTCAGAGCTGGTCCGTGGCCACCTAGTCAGCTAGTGGCAGAGCCAGAACCGAATTCTAATTCAGTCCCTCCCACCTGAGGTCCAGTGGCCCTTCAGGACCTTGAAGTGACCTCCAGTTTATAGAACCTAAAGATAAAAGACAGGAAGTTTACCTTTATTTTACTATTATTATTATTATTAAAGATTTTATTTTAAATAATCTCTACACCCAACATGGGGCTCGAACTCACAACCCTGAGATCAAGAGTCACATGCTCCACCAACTGAGCCGGCTAGGCGCTCCAGGAAGGTTACATTTACACATCAGGGAAAGAAACGTTTTGAACAAAAGATGGGCTTCAAGGTCCTAGATCTGAGGGTAAAGGGCTCTCTGGGTGACTGGAATTCAAGTGTGGGTGTGCTTCATGTAGGGGCAGCAAGAGCTGGGGGGTTTGGGTGGAGGGAAGGGCTTAGTGAGGCTGCCTCCAGCAGAGGGAGGCCACAGAAGGTGGACTTTTTTTCACTCTGTCTGTCAGTCACACTGTCACCACAGCTGTCTTTATTGTGTAATTGTTACCTAGAAAAAGATCTCCTTAGAAACACAGAAATCATTTGTTGACGTGCGTGTTTGTGTGTGTGTACATGTGAGAGAATTGAGATAGTATATGTATATATATATAATTTTGTAGTAATCGCTTTGTAGCAAAATGTCTGGAAACCTATTAAGCCCATGGGGCGCCTGGGTGGCTCAGTTTGTAAGTGTCTGCCTTCAGCTCAGGTCATGGTCTCAGGGTCCTGGGATCGAGCCCCACATAGGGCTCCCTGCTCGGCAGGAAGCCTGCTTCTCCCTCTCCCACTCCCCCTGCTTGTGTTCCCGCTCTTGCTGTCTCTCTGTCAAATAAATAAATAAAATCTTAAAAAAAAAAAAAAACGTATTAAGCCCAAAGTAGAAAAATACAGATTACCAGATGACCTATCAGAGTTGGTTATTAGTGTTGCAAGAGAAGCCTCCTTTCCCTTTATCTGACCTCTACTTCAGATTGGTCCTCCCAGAGAACAGAGCCTGGGATGGGGGCTTGTGTGCAGTGGTATATGTGGGCAGGGAGCAGAAGCCAGGACAGAGGAGAGTGAGTCAGGGAAGGAAGGGGATCCAATAAGGAGTGGGGGGGCAGTCTCCAGTGGAGCCCCACAGTGGGTGGTGGAAGCTTGAGCCCACCACGCCCTTCTGGGGAGCTGTGTAAAATGCAGCGGAGGAAGGAAGCATTCATTCATGCATCCGATATTCTGCTGGCCCAGGATCATCGCGCCAGAGGGTATATCCCACTTCCAGTTTGTGCAGATGTGGCACCAGGCTGGCTCTTGCAGAGAGTGAGAGAAGCTGGGTCAGGGCAGCTGAGGCAGGGTCCTGGCAGGGGACATTGGCACAAGGCAGGTGGCCACACAATGACTGGGAAAAGGTGGGCAGGATACGAAGGAAGAGCACCAGAGGTGTTCAGTGCAAGTGCTGCAGATAATAATCTCTTGTGGGGGTTGCTAGGCAGATTAGAAGTAACAGTGCCCGCAGAGGGTGGGCATGCAGTAAGTGGATCATAACTCTGAAGGGTTTCTTTTGCTTGAGCTGCGCTACTGTTTTAAAATGTCATTTAATGATTAAAACATCAACACGTACATAACATTTTTGTAACACACATTGATCCAAGAGACAGTACCTGGAGCAACACCCAAGACATTAGTCTGCTAGTCAATCTAGGTTAAGCTCTCTAGAATGTGTCTGCAAAGCAAAGGTAAGGGAGATAGGGCGGAGCATGCAGAAAATTTCCAAAATTTTGTTAAGAGACATGAACTTTTCAACCACAGAAGGACTGAGTTTTAATAGAAACAAATAAAAGCTCTGAAAATATTTAGCTATTGGGTACAATACAGTCCTTAATATTTTCATAACCTTTTTGTTTTCACCCCACAGAGTGAAATATGAGTGATTTTTAAACATTCCAGAGATATTTTAATTTTGACACATTTTTATTGAGGACGTTTCATTTATAGTTTGAGCTAAGAATACTGAGGCGCAGAGAGGTTGAGTAACTTGGCGGAAGTCACACACCTGGTACAGGGCAGGCCCGACCTGGAAAGCTATAAGTTGGGGCCCAATCCAGGCTCGTTCACACAACTGCTTCCCAGCCTTTGGGCTGTGGGCATCCTCTCCCACAGGCTTCTGTCCTCATGCCAGACAGCTCTCCTCTGGGAGCCGACCATTGCCAGGTGCTCCTGGCTGAGACAACCAGGAAGCAGCCAGCGCACTTGTCATCCACCCATCCCATCTGCCAACTGAGAAGGGGCCATGCAGTCATTCCGAAAGCCATTCCCTGACATTATGTTTCACTGTGGTTCTTGTTTACTCCAAAGACGGCACATGAGGTGTGGTTCCAGCAACCGCGAAGAAAGGCAGTGAGGGTGAGGCTGGGAGAGGGAGAGGCAGAGAGGAAGAGACCTGGAGGGGGAGGAAGAAAAGGACCCCCTGTGCAGAGCCGCGAGGGCCTCGGTGGCCCCAGGAAAGGAACTCTGCACGAGCCAGGCACCTGGCCCCTCTCCTTTGGCAGCTGTTCCCCGGGGGCACGGCCTGGGAGCTGTGTGCGCACGCGGAGCAGTGCGCGGGAATCCGAGCTCGGCCCCAGGAGTGGGTCACCCCCCAAAGTTCTGAGCGGCAAGCTGCAGGCTGTTGGGAAGCCTCAGGTAGCCGTCTGCACCCAGTCAGGAGACAGAATCCACACGGCAAGTTAAGTCTTGTAAGTTATATATTAAAAATATAAAGAATGGAGTACGATGAAAGAGCAACTATGACATATAAGTAAACTCCACACGGCACCCGGGCCGAGGGAAGGTCCCAGAGGAAGGACAAACTTGGAAGGGGGTCAGGCCTCACTGAGGAAGGGGAGGTGCAGCCCATCGGAGAGCGGAGAAGAGCTTCCCCAGGCTGGAGCTGGAACGGCCACCTCCCGAGGGCGACCGGCAGCCTGCGGCGTGGGCACGGTGGAGGCAGGGACAGGCTGCGCGAGGGGGGCTTGCAGAGGAGGCCGGCTGGGCACGGGGTCCCTGTGCAGGGACTCTGGGTTCCGGGTTGACAGGGCTGTGGAAAGGTTATGGCCAGGCTGAGGCTGCAAGGTCACAGAGGAACCACGTCTTGACCCGTGGCTGGAGCAGGGCTCCACGCGATGTCCTCGCGCTCACACTGCCAACCCAGTCCCCGGGGGCTGCTGCCGCGGACCTTCCTCCCACAATGTCCGTCCAGCGCCCTCTACCGAGAAAGCTTGACATCGTGCCCGCTTTACAGGAGAAACCCTTGTTTTTCGGAAAGCATCTAGGGAAGGATGCATTTGGCACCAAGGGGCCAAATATATATATAATTTATAACTGACAAACTTCCCCCACCACAGGTTGGAAAGTTTTGCAACTGCCATGGCCTTGGCAGACTTGGCTCAAGTCCTAGTCCCACCACTAACTAACTGTGTGACCTTAGGCAAATTAACCAACATGGGGCTCGAGCCTGTTTAACCTCTTTGAGGTTAACCTCTCTGAGCCTATTTCCTCTTTGGCAAAATGAAGATAATATCGTCCACGTCAGGACTGTTATGTGGAATAGAGGTGATAAGCACAGGACCTGAATCATAGGAGGCACTTAATAACTAATAATTAAAGCCTTTTTCTATTTCTTTAAAAGTTGTGAAGGTATCCAGATCACATAAATAATTTCTATGAAACTGCTTTGAAATGTGGAAAGAGCCATAAGTCCATGCTAATCGTGTCTTTTCACAAAGGATCTGTTTTCAGTACTTCAATATTTTAGTGATCTTCAGGGAAGTCACCCTGGAAAATGCCAGTCTGGGTTTGTTTTCCCCACTTTCTTTATCCCCTCTGTGGCTAAAGTGGGCATTTTTCTTAATTTTCTTCTCATTGATTTGCAGGTGTGTACCCTGACTTTTCTCAGTATATATCTATTTCTCAGTAAGTCACTAAGCTCCATGATCATCCTAGCCACATTCACAGAATAAAATAATGTGCATCAGGGGCGCAGAAGAAGGAGCTGGAACATGGGAGGCCCTTGTATGGCAACTGTGAGTCCCGGAGCTGAAGGGCAGGGAACTGGGCTGGGGCAAGGGAATCCTCTAGAAGCTTTGTAGAAATGCCACTGCAGTATTTCTCACCTCACATTGCCTAAAACTAGCTCCGGTGTCCTGAGAATTAATTGAAACAACTAAAGCAGTTTGAATTATTCGGAGGAAAAGTACCAAGGAAAAGAAACAGCTCACCTCAGGGAGTTTGCTCAATGACCTGCTTTTGAGAACTTGCCCTGCCAGGCGTTGCCACGTATTTGAGCCTCTGCCCATTGTGGGAGGCTGGGCAGGCAAGGCAGGGGTGGGTTGCTCCTGATAGCCAGGGGTCGAGGCTCTGTCATTATGTTTTAGGCCTACGACAAGGCGTGGAGACAGGAGAGGCAGACGGAGAGGGTGAAGGCCTGCACTCCAGGAAGCAGGGATGGTTACAAACAGCTCTGCTCGCCCCTTGTAGGGGAGAAGGGTCCCTCACTCTTACCTTTTCCTGGCAGCACGGAAGAGCAGGGAATCTCGGGCACCCCGCCTCTGCCATGCCGACCACTGGTCAGCACCAATTCCCGGGAGAGGAGGACGGTGGCTCGTGAGGGTCCTCAGTTGGTCTAGGGAACCTCCATCTGACTTAGTGAATCAGCCTCTGCCCTGGGTACGTACCCCCTTAGGTCGAGGCAATCTTCAGAGTGAGGAGCAGAGGAGTCTTCTTGCCTCCACAGATTTTCAGGCAGACAGAAGGAGATTCAGGGAACGAGATGAATTTCCTAGGACCCTCCAGGAGCCATTTGGATTGTCCAAGGGGTCCTTATTCCCAAAGCAGCCTGGAATGAACCCATGTTACTCCTCAGTGAGAGGACTTTGCCAGACCATGAACTCCTCAAGGGGACCATGGACCAACTGTAATTATTCACCGTGTATCTCCACACCTTGCACAACTTTGCACCGGTAGGTGTCCCAGAGGGGCTGGCTATTTAGATGGGTGGACAACTCCCCAAGGCTGGAGAGACTGAAGACGTGCCATGTCCCTGGAGGTATTCCTGATCGTCCCTGGAGTTTGGGGCACACATCTAGAATGTCCTCAGTTGGTTACACATTTTGGCTTAAGGGTCTTAACTGCTCATGCAGCCCACTCGGGACTGAGGGACATCCCAGGGTGGGAGGACGCACCCCCTCCAGGGCTGTCACTCCTGGGGAGGCCAGTTAATGCTGGGCAGAGAGCACTGCAGCGGGCAGCCCCACGCAAGCCTGAGAGCTTCTTAGCTAGATAGGAAATGTTCTCTACCTCCTTCTAGTACTGTGCATTGAAGCTAAATACCAGCAACTATAAGAGGCACCTGAGTCCAGACATGTGAAAATGTGAAAAAATGTGTGTGGCTTAAAATTGATGACATGTGTGTAGCCAGAGGGGTTAAGTGTTCCACTGTCAGCTTCTGTGCCTGCAAGGTTAAACTGAGTAAAGTGAAGCAAACACGTGATAGGAGATAGAAGGTCTTCCCGACCTTCTTGGCTGTGCGGGAGCCCAGCCCCAGGCACTGACTGCCCTCGGGGACCGTGACACAGGAATCCTGAGTGGGGAGCCAGGTCACTCAAGGGGCAGAGAGCTGAGATGACCAGCAAGAGAAAAGGCCAATGTTTTAAGCATCTTTTTTATTCTGAGGCTTTGACGTCTGGGCCTCGCAGGGTTAGCTGATTCCTGGAGACCCTGTATGACTCACCTGCCAGCACGCCTTTCACATGCACACCCACCGACCCATAGCCCACACCCCGCCCCACCCCGCTCCACCCCCGCGCCCCGCCCCGCCTCCACGCCCCGCCCCGCCTCCACGCCCCGCCTCCGTGGGCTCTGGCTCTCGCGCTCAAGGCCACTGTCCACCAGCCCGACACCTCAGAGCGGGGGACCAGACAACTAGGGACAGCCCCATGCCCCAGAGCCTGCTGAAATTATTCACATTAGCCAATCCTAAGCCTGCTTACCCGGCCTCACCTGTTCCTTCCCACAGGAAAAACAATAAAGGTTCTTGCCCATGTTTCCCCTCCCTCCTGAGTGACCCTGGTGCTGCCCCATGTGGCCCCTATGGCGTGGGTGTCCCTGCCCCTTGGGAGCAGTGACTATAACAGACTATCTTCTCATTAGCTGTCAACTCCTGATCTGTTGGCCTCATCATACCTGAATCATAAACCTACATTTTAAAACAGCTAAGCCTGTTCCTCGTGACTTTTGCTTTTTCCTTGTATTCAAGGACTCCTGTATAAGCCTAATCCTAAACCGAAGTAGCGAAGTGTGACAAAGTGTGGTAACTTCACGTCTAACCGGTGTCCTCCACACCCCTTCCCTCAACGTGCGCAACCCCCACCCTCGCCTGCGAACTCTTATAGGAATCCCACACACTCTGTCCTTGTCCAAAACTGGTCTCAGAAAGGGAGCTGACAGAGTATTTCATTTGAGCATGTAAAGCTGAATACGTTACCTCTCCCAGGAACATTTGCGTCATGACAGGGAAAAGAACCTTATGTCATGCAGGGAATTATTAATTGTTGAATTTCAGGCATCCCCGAAGATGGTGAAGACCTTCTCAATATCCCTGAATCACACCTCAACTGCTCATAAATTAGGGAATTATTTTAATTGTGTACAAGTTTACTTTATTTTATTTTGAATACCCTATTCTGTGCAAGACACATCGCTATGCAATTTATTACTTGTGAGCTTTTTGTTATGGGAATTTTTCAAACATTCACAAAAGTAGAGAGAACAGCAAGAACCCCAGTGTACCCATCACCAAGTTCCAACAGTTGTCCGCCAAATCCAATCTTGTTTTATCTCCACCCCAATGCTACATATTTATTATCTTTTTAAAAAATCTTTTTTTTAAGTTTTATTTGTTTAAGTTATCTCTACACCCATCTACACCCAACATGGGGTTTGAACTCACGACCCCAAGATCAAGAGTCACATGTTCTTCTGACTGAGCCAGCCAGACCCCTACATATTTATTGTCTTAAAACAAATCCCAAACCATCATATCTTTGGAAGTCTATTTAAATACCATCCTCAGCATAGTCATTGGGCCGTTTGTCCTCATACTACAAGTTTGTCTCTTTCTTTTAATATAGTTTCTAAATGGAATGTGGAGACCGTGAACTTCCAGGAACTGAAGTCAGAGTTAACTGAGGTTCCTGCTTCCCGAATCCTGAAGGAGAGTCCATCTGGCCATCCCGTGAATGAGGAGGGAGACCCTGGTATGAAGTTAAATTTCTTCCCTTTTGTACACACATGGTCTTTATCTGTGACTGTTCTGTGCAGAGTTGGTCAGCCCGCTTTGCGGGGAGGGCGGACCACTGGTCATCCCTGGCAGCGAGGCAGGGAAGGGGGAGAGGAAGACCCCCTCTCTGCTCCCTTTCCAGAGCTCGCGGGCAGGATGTCGGCCTTTCCTAGCAAAGCCCTGTATCTCACTCACCACCCACTTGGGGATGGTGGGCTCAGCTGCGCTGCACTGGGGGAAGAGGAGAGGTTTATTTCACCCACTTGATTGCCACATAGAAATTTGTTACATTTTTTTAGTAGATCCTTCATATCTTTATCTTAGGGCCAGATGGATGCACCATCTCAGCACATAGCACATACTCAGAAAAGGTATCTTTTCTGAACTTGGGTACTGAGGAAAAGTACAGGTGCCCCTCTCCAAAGTGTTCCCTGAAAGCCAGACTTAAGGCAGGCTGTGGTTTTCAGAAACTGTGACTATCCATGTTATTAACAATTATTCCCAGCTGAAGATCATACATGCGATGGGGATGTTTTGAAGTCTTCAAAATACAATTCCCTGAGACATGAGCAGCAAAGACTCCCCACCTTCTACAAAGAAAGTGAAAAAAAAAGCACAGAGATCTGTTGTGTTTATTTCAGCTAAATCTAAATTTTCAACCATCTCTTCATTACATTTTTAAAAATTATGTTCGGGTTTTATTGTATTAAAATGGTGCCTTTATGTGGCCCATCAGTTTGGTCTTGAAGAACTTTGTTTTACAGAGTTTCTTATAATGACTTGATTTTTGTTTCATTTTTATTTTTTAAAAGATTTTATTTATTTATTTGAGAGAGAGAGGGAGAGCACGCACAAGTGGGGAGGAAGGGGCAGAAGGAGACGGAGAAGCAGCCTCCCTGCTGAGGGAGCCCAACTTGGGGCTCGATCCCAGAGTCCTGAGATCATGACCTGAGCGGAAGGCAGACACCCAACTGACTGAGCCACCCAGGCGCCCCTGTTTCATTTTTTTTTTTTAAAGATTTTATTTATTTATTTGAGAGAGAGAGAGAGAATGAGAGATAGAAAGCACGAGAGGGAAAGAGGGTCAGAGGGAGAAGCAGACTCCCCGCCGAGCAGGGAGCCCGATGTGGGACTCGATCCCGGGACTCCAGGATCCTGACCTGAGCCGAAGGCAGTCGCGTAACCAACTGAGCCACCCAGGCGCCCCAACCCCTGTTTCATTTTAAAAAATGAAGTAAATCAGACATGAAAGTCATAAAAAGTAGTATAATGGACACCTGTGAGTTCCTGCCTGCTTCAATCAAATATTAGAAATACAGTTTGAAGTCCTCTGTGCAGCCTTCCTCTTTACAACTGATACTGAAAAGGGGAAGTTCAATTCATATGACATGTTGATCACATAATAGGTCCTGGGCATTTACTCTCTACCAAGTACATAACATGTATAATTCCAGTTAACATTTACAACATCCCTACTACCCCAAAACACTATCCCCCTCTACCAATGACCAAGCCAAGGTCGAGGGGGCTGAGGGACCTGAACGTCACCCAGCCAGCGGAGGGCAGAGCCTGACCTTACCCCCAGACGCTCTGTCTCCGGGGTTCTGGCTTTCGCCGGCTCTGCCACGTGGCCACAGGGCGGAAAGATGGTGGAAAGCGTTCTGGGGTTATGCGTGTCTTTAATTCCCCCAGGATGCGGAGAACTGGTGTGGGTAGGAGAGCCGCTCACCCTGAGGAGAGCTGAAACGATCGCGGGCAAGTACGGCGTTTGGATGAGAGACCCGAAGCCCGTCTACCCGCACACCCGGGAGACCACGTGGAGAATCGACACGGTGGGCACGGACATCCGGCAGGTGTTCGAGTACGACGGCGTCCCGCAGTTCCTGCAGGGCTACCCGTCCAAGGTGCACGTGCTGCCGCAGCCACTGGAGAGCACGGGCGCCGTGGTCTACCGCGGCAGCCTCTACTTCCAGGGCGCCGAGTCCAGAACGCTGGTGCGCTACGAGCTGACCACCGAGGCCGTGAAGGCTGAGAAGGAGCTGCCCGGGGCCGGCTACCACGGGCAGTTCCCCTATTCGTGGGGCGGCTACACGGACATCGACCTGGCTGTGGACGAGACGGGCCTCTGGGTCATCTACAGCACGCAGGGGGCCAAAGGCGCCATCGTCCTCTCCAGACTGAACCCAGAGAGCCTGGCCCTTGAACAGACCTGGGAGACTAACATCCGGAAGCAGTCAGTGGCCAACGCCTTCCTCATCTGCGGCCGCCTGTACACTGTCAGCAGCTACTCGGCGCGGAATGCCACGGTCAACTTCGCCTACGACCCGGCCACGGGGCGCAGCAAGGCCCTGAGCGTCCCCTTCAAGAACCGCTACAAGTACAGCAGCATGGTGGACTACAACCCCCTGGAGAAGAAGCTCTTCGCCTGGGACAACTTCAACATGGTCACCTACGACATCAGGCTCTCCAGGGTGTGAAGAGCCTCTGGCATCAGGAAAGGCAGCAGGACACGGCGGTTAGGGCTCCTGAGGGCCGAGCCCGCCCGCCAAAGCCCCTGCAGCTTTTCTCTGCTTTCTCAGCTTTCATTATTCACCCAGAAGAATGTGGGGGTCCCCAGGTCTGCCTGTGTGGGACTAGCAGTCGGGGGAGTTAGTCGGCGTCACGGCGGATGGGCTCCTGTTTGGTCAGCTCTTAAAGGGCTCTGTAACCGAAATAGTGCAAGTTCTGCGGTGATCTGGGGCCAAAGTTATAAGGCATAGTAGTATCTTCATGGAAACCACAAGGCTTTTTATAAAAGGCCCTCACTGGCTAAAAATGGTGTGTGTGGAGAAGAGCTCGGGCAAAACAGCTTGCCCCACGTGGCACCCAGGGTCGTCCCCTGCATGCTGGGGACGTGGTTACCCCACGCCACAGTTAGAAGAAGAGGAGCAGCTCCTGTGGCCTCTGTCTGTATGGTGGGCTTCTAATGCTTCACGTAGCGTCCAGTGGGGCACAGCGTTTGCCCTGTGAAATAAAGCCATCTTACATACTGTCCTCCTTGAACTTTGTGGGCTACTTTGCTTACGAGAAGAGTACTGATTCTGGCCATCAGATAATTCCTTTGGGTTGGGAGCTGTGATTGCAGGACGCTAACAGTGTGGGGGTGTGTGTGTGTGGTGTGTGTGTGTGTGTGTGTGTGTGTGACTGAGAGGCCTGCACCCAGTTTTGCGGTGCTGCCCAGGACGACCCCAGGCCAACAGTGGAACCCACCCCTCCGCACCCCCAACTCCTGGTGCTCTTGGTTCTTCCCAAACCATCTTATCTTTCCCCAACTCACCCTCTCTTCACCCTGGCTGCGTGTTCGTTCTTCCTGGTTGTCCCGGGCTTGAGTTCCATAAACTACAACTCCAGGTGAGCGGACCTGACCCCACTGGTTTTTAGTAACTGGACTTGCTATCTTGAGGTGCCACCGTCCCTAGCAGAACACTTTGTCTTGCCAATTCAGCTTGGACTCTGTCCCATGAGCATGTTTTCAGTCTGTTCAGGTTTCTCCTCTTCCCCGGGCTCTTCCAGGTGACATCTGTGCTTGAGAGAAGCCAGGGCCCTCGGGCGAGGAGAGAGAGGTGTCCAGGCCTGAGATTCTTCCCACACCTGGTCTCAGTCACCAGTGCAGCCTCCAGCATTTGCTGCTGACACGCTCGTCTCTGCATCCGGTTCCGGCTTGGGTGACCTCTGCATCCTGGAGGCCAGTTCCAGCAGGCTGCTGCTTTTCCGTAGCCTGTTCTGTGTGCCCTCAGGAGCTCGTGTGCCCACAGGAAACTCGGGGTGCTCCGGCCCTCTCTCCTAGATCGGTCTTGGGTCCCTTCCACTCCTCTGCTGGTGTGGGGGCAACTTCCCTTAGAACCTCACCACCTACACAGGGTTCACCTGGAAGCAAGAACAAGTAGCTTCTGCCTTCTCATGCCCCAAACCATTTGTGACACAAAGGCCTGACAAGAATTCTCTAGAATCTAAGCTCTTTTTTTCTCTCTTTTTCCCTGGCTTCCCCCAGACTTCATGCAGACTGCAGGGAGGCCACAGTCGAGCCCTTCTCCTGTTTTCTTCTCAAATCTTGTTCACGGGACCAGGGCTCAGTGTTTTGATTTCTAAGAGAACCAGCACTTCAACCTCAAAACCTTGACTTTAAAGACGAATCTCTGTATCATGAGTTCTGAAAAAGTGTACTTCGGAAAGCAAAACCCCGAACATAACATTTCTTCCCCTCTGAGAGTTATCCTCATAGAGGCTACGTGTGCCAAGCGTTAGCCTGAAGAGGCTGAGATGTCTCTCCACAGGTGTATTCGTCTGCTCAGGCCACCATAACAAAGGGCATGGATGGGGTGGCTAAAACAACGGAAATTTATTCTCTCGCACTTCTGGAGGCTACAAGTCTGAGATCGAGGTGTCAGCAGGGTTGTGTCTTCTGAGGCCTCCCTTCTTGGCTTGTAGAGGGCTGTCTCCTCCCTGAGTCTCCACACGGTCCTCCTTCTGTGTGCGTCTGTTCCCTAATTTCCTCTTTTTTAAGAACAGCAGTCAAATTGGATTAGGGCCCACCCCCAGTGACCCAATTTTACTGCAGTTACCTCTTTAAAGGTCCTATCTCCAAAGACGGTCACCTTCTGAGGTACTAGAGGTTAAAACTTCGACATACGAATCTGGGTGGCAGGGACGCCATTCAGTCCGTACCAGCTGGATATCACCATTGCACCCCACTGAGAGTAGGCTCTGAAAGACTAGAAGCCCCAGAAGTGGGAATGCATGAGCTCACTCCTGAACACCTGTAGCTATCAGGCATTCGAATGAGAAGTGCAAGGTGAGGAGACAGCTTTGGGTGAGTAGGCAGGCCGTCACAGCTCACAAGCGGGTGAGGCGAATCCTCACACAGACCAGCCCATGGCTCCTTTTCTTTTCCTCTGTCAGCTTCTGCCTCTGGCTTTGGGATGGAAGAGGACAGTGAATGAAGGAGGGAAGAAGGAAATCTTTCTGCCCTTGGCTTCCAGGATATTAGACTCCCCCTACATCACTGATGGCTCCTTTTGGTTTCTCTAGCTGGTTCCTCTTTTCAGCCCGTGTTAGTCAGGGTTCTCCAGTAAGAGATGTAGATATAGATATGAAAAGGGATTTAGTAGGACGAACTGGCTCATGCCACTTGTAGAAGCTGAGAAGCCCCACGATCTGCTTTCTGGAAGCTGGAGACCCAGTAGTCTGGTGGCGTAATTCAGTCCGAGTCCAAGGGCTTGAGAACTGGGGGGAGCTGTTGGCATAAACCCCAGTGTAGGGGCAGGGAACACAGATGTCCCTGCTCAAGCAGGCAAGCAGGAGGCAGAGGGGGTGAACTCCTCCTTCCTCCAGCTTTTTCTCTATTTAGGCCCTACGTGGATTGAACGATGCCCACCCACACTGGGAAAGGCAGTCTACTTTACTGAGTCCTCAGATTCAAAGGCTAATTTCATTCGGAGACACCCTCACATCACACCCACAAACGGTGTTTCATCCGGGCACCCCTGGGGCCAGTCAATTTGACACACAAAACTCATGATCACATCACCTCAACCTCTTTTGTTTTTTAAGATTTTATTTATTTATTTGAGAGAGAGAAAAAAAGAGGGGATGAGCAGGAGGAAGGGCAGAGGGAGAAGCAGACAACCCGCTGAGCAGGGAGACCGACGTGGGGCTTGATCCCAGGACCCTGAGATCACGACCTGAGCTGAAGGCAGACGCTTAACCGACTGAGCCACCCAGGCGTCCCTAGCCTCAACCTCTTAAGGTTAAAGTGCTTCAGGGCTCAACGGTTTCCTCTTTACCGGCTCATTCTTCTGGTCTCACCTAGCATCATGCCTCTGAATGCCACATCTATGTTGATAACCCCCAAATTTATACCTCCAGCCCACACCTTACTCCTAAACTCCAGATTCATATATTTATTTGCACACTTGACCTTTCCACTTAAATGTCTCTTAGGCGGGGGCACCTGACTGGCTCTGTTAGTGGAATGTGCAACTCTTGATCTCATGGTCGTGAGTTTGAGCTCCACGTTGGGTGTAGAGATTACTTAAAAATAAAATCTTAAAAAAATGTCTATGAGGCATATCCAATCAGCAAAACTAGAATTTCTGAGTTTCTCTGCCTCATCCCGGTCATACCTGCCAAATCTGCTCTTCTTGGAGCTGGTAGAAACTCCATTCCTCTAGTTGCTCAGGCCAAAATTGGAGTCATCCTTCACTCCTTGCTCTCAAACCCCACATCCAATCCATCAGAAACTCTTGTTGGTTCCATCTTCAAGTACATCTGTGCAGAATCTGACCACATTTCTCACCTCGCCAACGGCTCTTTGCTCATATTCCCGTTGTCTTTTTCCTGGATTGCTACACGGCCTCTGAAGTGCTTTTGCTCCTTGCCCCCACAGCCTATTCACCATCGCGGCCAGAATGGCCCCCTTAAAATACAAGCCAGAACGTGCCTCTCTGCTCCAGAAAACCCCGCAGGGCCTCCCATCTCAAAGTCAGAGTCCTTACAAAGTCCCCCATGATGTTTCCCCCGCCCCTGTGACTTCAACTTTTACTCATGTCCCTGACTCCTTCTACTCCAGCCAGGCCACATGGGCCTGCTCACCCTCCTCTGAATGCTCCAGGCACACTCTGGTCTTGAGCCCTTTGCGCTGGCTCTTCCCTCTGCCCCAGATGTCCACACACCTAACTTCCTCTTGAGTCTTTACTCAACTGTCACCTTCCTAGGAGGCCGACCCAAACCACTGGGGCTATTTAAAATTGCAGGTGACGCGCTGTTTCGTCGGCAACTTCCAACCTTCCCGACCCTGTCTGATTATTTCAGAATTTCCTTTCCATTACATTTATTGTCTCCTGACATACGGTATAATCCACTGATTTTAAATTGTCTATACTTTTCATCACACTTCCCTCTCTGGAATGTTGTGGAAGGTCATCGAGAAGACATGACCGCCAGTTGACGTGTGAGCTGGATGCTGGCAACTGGAGGCTCCTCACCCCCTCCGGTCCTTGGATGTGGGTTCCCCTTGCCTTTCCTGCCCCCAGAGGCTGAGAGAGTGATGTGGTGTTAAGAACACCTGCACCGTTCACATGACTGAACCCAGTTAAGGGCTCCTTATCAACTTTTAAGGTGTGGCGGGTGGGTGTGGGGATTCACTCACCTTGCTGCAGCCCAAGACAAGGCTTGTGTGGAAGTTCCCTTGCTTATTGAGCCTGGGACCTACCAACGGGGAGTGGCTGTTTCCTCCTTCAGTCTCTCCCTGCCTTCTGAGTGCAGGGGCCAGTTTCAGATCACACCCAGGAAGCTCCCAAGGGACTCATGAGGCAACACCTGGCGAGCCAGCCAGGAGACCGAGGACATGGGGCCCTGGGAATGGGGCATCTGCGGGGGAGATCCCGGGTTGCCACCGGCCTCTGTATGTGTGTGTGTAGTGGGGGTGGTTGCGGGTCCT